TGGTAGTAAGTCAGAGCAAGGAAAATCTCTTTCTCTTTCCATGTCTGTTTCTCGCTTCCTATCTATGTAAGCTCTGGTCTTCAAATAAGTAAATAAATGTTTTTAAAACAACAGCCGGTCCGATCCTCCATCAGATTGCAGCTTTCCAGGTGCTTTCCGTGCATGACCACAGTTCACATAGCAGCCCTGGGGTGGGGCTTTTCCCTGATATTGTGGGTGAGCTGCAGAAGCTTAGAAGGAGTAAGTCACCTTGTCAAGTTCCCTGGGCAAGGGAGGGTGGAGCGGGGCTTGAGCCGGGATCTGTCTAGTTCAAGGTCAGTGCTTTGGCCACTACCTCTTTCTCATACTGCCTTTGGACTTTGGGTCCCTCCTTTGAAAACAGTGGCTCGGATGGTCTCGCCTGTAGACACGTGGCGCACATACCATCCCATATCAAAGCTTATTTGCTGCTTTTATACCCAGTCACTTGAAAGATTTTCTGGTCCTAAAAACACTATATGGGGGAAATCATTTCAAAGCACAGACGTGTGGGTTGTGCTTTCATGAGTATTCACTGTGAAATTTCCTTTCTCTGAGATCACCAGGGGGGATTTGAACTCACTCTTTGGGCCTTTGGAAGAAGGACCCCAAATGTCAGCTCCTTAAGCAGAGATGTGCTCAAAGGACGTTTCACAGCTTTGATTCTTGCTTGAGCCTGGAGAGGATGCAGGTTTTTCCACCCATCTGGACAAGAGGGGAAGGATTTGGGGTTTATGCAGATGTATTCCCTGGAGGATGATGTCAGTAGGGTGAGGGCAGATTGGTTATAAGAATTCATCTGTGGCTAACAAACATGATTGTGGTGACCAGGTCAGAAGCAGCATGCAGTGGTTACTCAGGAAGACCTGGATTTGAGCCTGACCCTGCCTGTGCTCTCTCTGTGACCCTGGGGGAAGTTAGTGGCTCTCTCCAAGCTTTGCTGTCATATCTATATTAGGGTCAGTGGTGACACCTGCCTCATAAGACTATTGTGAGGATTAAATGCAATAATATTTGTAATACAAAGTATTTAACACAAAGATGTGGCAAGATGTATTCCATAAATACAAAAAAACCTTTAGTGCTAATGATAACATGCAATTGAAGAGCTACTGTTTGTGGATTCATTCATTCATGAAATGTTATTGCTGATTTTATTAACAAAAGTATCTGTGAGCAGCTAGGAACTCCTGGGAATCATCAAATCTCATACAAATCACAGTTAAAACTTTGTGCATGTGTGTGCTTTTCTGGGGCAGCATCTCCAAAGAATTCCCAATTTCCCCCCAAACGGCCAAAAAGCAAAGTCTATGAGATGCTGAGGACTTTGGTGCTAGCGACACAGAGATGGATTCTAAGACCATCCTCATCCTCAGCAAGTTCAGACAGACACAATGTGGAGGAATGAGTGGCCTGCCTGGGTAGTGGCTGCTTCTGTCATCCTTGTTGAAGGTCCCTTGACCGTACAGAAGAGACTTTGCACCTGGGCTGTCTTATGCCTGCATGAAAGTCCATGCTGGCTTTTTAAAAGTTGTTGCTGTCTTTTAAAATTTTATGGAGAAACTTTAGATTCATAAAAAAATTGAATGAAAGGAACGAAGATTAACCCTCTGCCTCACCCCACTCAGTGATTCCATGTACACAATCTCTCCAGCATCATAATCCTGACTCAGCTTAGTGTCTTTGTCACTGTCCAGGAATATACATGGACACGTCATTATCACAAAAATCTAGTTTGCATTAAGGCTTGCTATTGATACTGTGTGATCTATGAGCCTTGAAGGATGGATAATGACATGTGTCCTCCATCCTAATGTCATATAGGGGAGTGTCACTGCTCCCCACCTCCCCAACCCTCTGGGCTCTGCTCACTCATTTCTTTTTTCCTTCCAACTCCTGATGACCATTGGTCTTTGTATCTCATAATTTCACCTTTTCCAGAAGGTCATATAATTGGAATCATATGGCAGGTAGCCAGATTGGCCTCTTTCACTTAGACTTTCACATTTCCTCCAAGTCTTTAGTGGCTTGGCAGCTCTTTTTAGTGCTGGAACCCACTTCATTGTATGGATGGACCGCAGTGTGTTTGTCTATCCACCTGTGAAGGCTGTCTTTGCAGCTTCTGAGTTTTGGCAGTTATCCCACAGCTGCTGTCAGCACCAGCATGCAGGTTCTTTTGTGGCTACAACTTTCCAGCTCCCTTGGGCAGATTCCAAAGAGCACGGCTGCTGGATCATATGGTAAAGAGTATGCTTAATTTTCACAAGGCACTGCCAGACTTTTTGTTGAAGTAGCCATAGCAAGTTATATCCCCCCTCTCCCCACATCCCCAATCCAACCATAAATGAGAGCTCCTGGTGCTCCACATCCTTGCCAGCATTTAGGGGATAGTTCTTAGTTTGGTTCTTGGTAATTCTGAGAGTTATCTTTATGACCCAATAGGTAGTTGTATCTGAGACTTTGCCAAATTCATTTGTGATTGCTGATCACTTTTTTTTGGTAGACTCTTTGGCAGGTCATCCATAAAAAACAATTTTACTTTTTCCTTCCTAATATGGATACCTTTTATTTTTTTCTCTTTTCCTGGCTTGAACTTCTAAGTGCAATGGAAGTGGTGAAAGAGGGCATCCTTGTCTTGCTCCTGATCTTCGAGGCTGACTGTTAATCTTTTATCACTGAATACAGTGCTTTTCTGTGTAAGCAGACACTGCCTAAAGAGTTAGGAATTATGAAAATCCTGAGATTGATTAAAATTGTGTTCCTCTGTATTCCCAGTACTGTGCACAGTGTCTGGCACATAACAGTTATTGAGTCCCTAGATAAACTTTTAGAAGTGATTCTTTTTCTTTTTATAAAAAAATGAAGTGAGCTAAGGTACTTCTGATTGCAGGTTGCTTGGTATTCTTGAGGGTGAGGTGCAAGGATTGAAAGCTGACAATGAAGGGAATACTTGGCAGGTTGTCTGCCGACAGAAGCAGGTCAGCCATTGCTGTTTCAGTGTTCCATGCGGGGATGCCTGCTTTTAAAAAACATTGTTATTATCTGACAGACAAAGAAAGAGAAGGAAGAGGAAAAAGAAAAAGAAAAGGAGGGGGTGTTGGGGTGCTGAGCTCTCATCAGCCCCATCTGCTGATTCATTCTCCAATGCTGGCAATGGGCGGGGCTGGGCCTGACTGAAGGCAACAGCTGGGAGCTCAGTGCAAGTCTCCCACTTGTGTGTCAGGTACACAACTCCCTGAGGCATTGCTGCTGCTTCCCCAGGTGCCCGTTAGTAGGAAATGGAAATCTGAAATAGAGCCAGCATTCAAGTCCAGGTACTATGATATGGGTAGTGTGTGTCCCAGCAGGTGGACATCTCAACCACTGGGGCCAAACACTGCCCCTAAGTGGATTGCTTTTTAGAGATCCTCTTCTGCTTTCCACCTTTCTCTTCTCTGTTTTATCATTTAGCAGCTGTAAGCAAATAATACATATTATATCTCTTTGTGTTTATGACTACTGCATAAATAACTTATAATCCTTTGAATGCAAGGAAAATGAGTGAAATGCTATAAATTAGAAATGGGAGTTGTTATTGCTAATAGAGTGTGTAACATATGCTTTCCTGACTGATTTCAAGGACTTGGGTCTGTCTGCCTATGTTTTAGTTTGGAGGGTTGGAAGGCATCAAGTTGCCCCCATTTCATCAGTGATGCTGTCTTCTTCTATTGGAACTTGGACCCCTTAACTTGGAGCAGATAAAAATTCTGATTATCTATAATCTGAGAATGAAAAAATCAAACACTTTTTCTCTTTTAATGTGTTGGCATTCTTCTGCTTCTGAACTTTTTAACAAGCACATTCTAAACCAGAACTAGCATATCCTCACTTTTTTTTTAACAAGGTCATTTGAGCTACAGATTTAATAGCCATGTTTTGTAAATTGTAGAACTTGTTCATCAGTTTGCGAGGCTGCAGGAAGCCGTGGCAAGCCCAGGCCCTTTTGTTTCCATGAAAAATCTGCTGGTTAACAATCAGTGAAACTCTGTAACTTGCTCCCAAGAAGACGCTAGAATTCCAGGATATGAGGCTGTCCAACAGGGCAAGAGGGATGGCCGCATGTATGAGGACTGGGCCTGGGACTTGGAAACCCCAGGAATGGCTGTCGGCCTGTCCATGTTTCCACAGCTCTGTCTGCTCCCCTCCTTGTCTCACCATGCCTGCTGCTCTTGTCTCGCAGCCTACGGCTTGTCTCTGCCTCTGCCAGGACACAGCCACCCGGCTCAGTCACACAGTCACACAGTCAGCAGAAGCTCACCGGCAGTTCTGGTCTCTGTGTTCCTGGAAGGGAGACCTCAGCAACATCATCTGGAATTGGATAATGGCTCCTGGCTTGTTCATTTGTAATTCAGCAAGTCTTCACTGTGTTCATTCTAGGCACTGGGGATGCACCTGCTCCTTATGGTGGGGGAGAGAGAGAGGGAGGGAGAGAGAGAGTGTGTGTGTGTAAGTGGTGGGGTGTAGGGGAGAGAAGAGATTCTGAAAATTGACTCCTTTAGGTCTGTCTTAAGGAATGCTGTGTTCAGAGAATGGGAAGTGTGGACTTGGAATTTCAGTATACTTGGGTTTAAATCCCAAGTCCTTTTTGTTTCAGCCCCATGTGACCTTGGGCAAAATAAATACTCCTTTCAGTGCTAAGTTCTAAACCAGCACAGTGGGAATTGTCCTCTAATAAGGTCATTGCAGGGTTTAAGGAAACTTAGCCTTCAAAGCCACAAGTGGGCAGGGCCTTGGCACTCTGCACCAAGTGGCAGCCCCGGGGCTGCAGGACCTGGCTGGGGAGACTCTGTGTCTTCATCCTGTGTGTGGTGGGGAAGACCATCCCACGCTTCATGTGAAGGCAAAGGCATGCAACAGGAGCCAGGCTGTGAGGGAGGCGTGCCACGTGGCTGCTGCTGCTCCTCCTCTCTGGATGCAACACGTTTTCTCCTCCTCTCTTCCAGGTCCCATTTGGCCGCCGTGTACCTTGTGACATCTACTGGCACGGAGTTTCGTTCCATGACAATAATATATTCTCGGGTCAAGTGAACAAGTTCCCAGGTATCCACCATTCCCAGTTGGCCTCTCGGACTGGGCCAGGTCGGGGGGCGCTCTCTACATCCCCCTGGAAGACTTGTGGTGCCATGGTGCCCTTACCTTGGGAGGGAAGTTTACTGCAGGGGGAATTGGCACTGTAGCCCCTAAGGGTTAAAAGAACAGAAGAGTATGGTCTTTACTTTTTCCCATTGTAGCTATTGTGTGAGGGTCTAATTTGAGGGTCAATTTTTTTTTTCAATGAGAAAAAGAAATAGAGTATTTCACCTGTAGGCAAAACAGATTCTAGGAACATCTCCTAGAAAGGGAGTGCTGGCAGGTGCACTGGTCCCCATGCTGAGTCTCCTGCTGGCTCAAGGCAGCATCTGATGTGATCTCAGTGAGACTTACCTGCCAGGAGGGCTTGGTGCCAGGTCAGTGTCATGGTCAACATATTTAAGGTGTCCCTATTCTCTGCCACCTTCCCCTGCCATGATTACTGTATTTCATTGTTATTTGATGGGCCAAATGATGAGGGTGGCTAGAGTTAGTGGCCATAGGGAGGGAAGACATGGTTAAGCTTGGCATGATATTGCTGGAAAAAAAAGCAATTAAAAAAATTATTATTTGCCACAAACCATGTAATAACGCAACATTTTTCAAAGGAACATCCCATTCCCTTGCTTAGCAAAACATCAGCCTGAATCCCATTCCGCTACACTTGATCTTAGCCAAAAGGCCGAGAAGCGATTAATGTGAATATCTTTATAGTGTACTTGCCTAACTGGAAGGGGGTTCTTCTGATCATTTGTATATATTTTAAAGAGAGAATCAATCAATTTGCCCTTTTGTAGTGGGATTCTACCCTGCATCCTTGAGAAAACACATTTCAGAAAACCCAACATTCATGCAATCACACACCAGCTAGCTGTGCTTCTCCCACTAGGGGGCTTCTGGCCAAGCATGCTGATGCATGAGGCCACTGCCATAGGCCACACTTGACCTAGATTACTTAGGATGGAGGGCAGGGAGCCCAGCTTCTTAGTCCATCAGCATTAAGTAATTTTCCTCCACGGAGTATTTGCTACTGCTGTCTTGGTCCCTCCAGTGAAGGCTCAGGTGTAAGGAGGTGGCATCCCCAGCGGCGGCTATAGTCTCGGCATAGAGGGCCTAGAAGAGCCAGTATCTTGCCTAACTGCTCTGCGACAGAGCATACAGGATCCCTGGAAATACCATGTTCATTTACAAAAAGCACCGCACTTAGCAGCACCTACAGCTGCGGCTTCCCACCTGGGCTTTTACCAATCAGGATCATTTTAACTGCATGCTTTGTTGTACGGTACCACAGCTGATGTTCCACCTTTATCAGTCTCCAGGGAAACAGGAATAAAAGGTGAACCAAAAGTCGTATTTGTCATAAGAGGGGGAAACAGCATTTTATTAGAGAATGGGAATGTATCTTGCAGCTCAGGGTTCTTGCGCACAGTGTAATGAAATAGCTACTATCATCTCTGACTTGCTGCTCAGAGATGCCACTTCAAACACTTATGGAAGATTGCAGGAGCACTGTTTGGGGGAGTCCGACTCTGAATGAAGACATGGCTGTCAATACCCAAGTCATCCAACGAGGCCTTGTCTGCATTTCCCCCTTTTGCTCAGTCCTGGTCTTGGTTGAGACCAGGAAAGAGGCAGCAGGCACGGGTCTCCCTTTGGGACCCAGCTCCCTTCGCAGGTGCTTCTTTCATTAAATAAGTGGGAAACTTTGAATAGTCATTTTTCGAAACAGCAAGTTTGCCCCTTTCCGTGCTGTGCATGGCAGCGACTGGAACATACCAATTTTCTACTCTACTAGCAGCAGTTAATTAGCTGCAATAGCAAAGCAGGCTCCAGAGCTTTGAGCAGCAGAGCAGTGCTGCCACAGCCCCTGCCCATGAAAGGCGGCCATCCTCAGCCGAAGGGCCTGTCCCATGGCTCCAGTTCATGTCCAGGCTTACCATCTATCTCACCTGTATCCCATTAGTCTTTGCATAAATTTGCTATGCATTTGTATATTAATCTTAGAGTCAGTATGGGAGGGTATGCAAGGCAAGTATAAACACTTTACATGCCTAATAAACTGGGAACCCTTTTAGGCATACGTATGGAACTTCATTGATTTTGTGTGTATCAGCGCATTCAATTTTAGGCACTTTTCTATGGACAATTTCTTTCTTTTTTAGAAAAATGTCTTTATTTTTCATGGACGGGCAAAGTTATATAGAGAGAAGGAAAGCTGTAGAGAGATTTTCCATCCTCTGGTTCACTCCTTAAATGGCCACAGTGGCTGGAGCCATGCTGATCCAAAGCTAGGAGCCAGGAGCTTTGGGGTGTCCCATATGGGTACAGGGATCTAAGAGCTTGAACCATCCTCTGCTGCTTTCCTAGTCTATAAAACAGGGAGCTGGATTGCCTGGATTTCAGGTGAGTAGTTGAGACTTGAACTGGTGCCATGTAGGTGCTGGCACTTTAGGCGGAGGCTTAACCTTGCATGTTACCCTGCTGGCCTCTGGGCACTTGTTGTAGTTGTTCAAGATATATTACTGTATCTTCACTAATGAATTAAGACTTTCTGTCAGAATAGTCTGATTTAGATATGCCTTTGCTTTACCTTTAATGTAGAATTGTCCATTCTCAACTTACAATTTTTTAAGTTTTGGCTGAAATTCAGGATCTGAGATGTATGGTAGCATGTAGCAGTTGTTTCTGAGAGGACCTCCCACCACACTCTGTGAATAAGAGGGTATTAGGATACTATGGACATGGGGCGTGTACCCATCTGTAAAAGTCCTGGCCTAGGCTCTGGGAATATAGAGACTGGGAGAAAGACAAAGAAAGAGAGAACAAAAATATGGGTGTGCTAGGCTGGAGGAGGAAGCTTGGAGTGCTGGGGGGGTTTGCAGGAAGGGGATGCAGCCCGATTTGCCTGGGATGAGGCAGGGTGGATGGAGCTGGGCTGGGGAAGAAGGGCAAGAGAATTGAGCCTCTGGGGATGGAGGGGCCGAGCCTTCTGTCAAACAGGGAGCAGAGGTGGCTCAAAGACAGAGAGGCTATGAGCTGTCACTCACACGGCAAAGGGCAGGCAGCTGGTGACAGATGGAGTAGGTCATGTGCGTGGGGCAGTGGAGAGTTGATGGGCAGGAACCTAGGGGAACCTTTGTTCTAGTCTGAAGGTTGCAAGGAGTCAATGAGACATTTGAAACCCAGACAATGACATGGGCCACCTTGCATTTTAGCACCCTCAGCCAAGAGGGTCAGGTCAGGCTAGAAAGGCCGGGAGGGGAAAGAAAAACACAGCTGAGACTTCCACAGTAGCCAGGCCAAAGACAGATGTAGGCCTGGAGAGCAGAGAAAGGACCAGAACGCATTCCTTTGCTCTTCAGTGACTTTAATGGGTTTTTGCTGAGAAAGATGATTAGAAATGCTATTTGGATTGAGCAGTGCTCCAGATGTAGCTGTTTTTGCTTTACGTGGGTTCAGCAGGGTCCTCTGGGCAAATGTGAGGATGGAGCTGCCTCATTCTTGGTTAACTCCGATGGGATGAGGTCCACCTGGCTCGTGGTGGGGAAGACAGGCAAACCCCGAATTCTGAAGCTCCATCCAGGAGCTGGGGCTTGTCAGGAATTTGTTCATACACAGGGGACATCAAGCTGCAGATTTCATTGATGGGTCAAACCTCCCAAGAGCAGGTACAGACAGCAGGGCCCCAGGCACTGGGCTAACGGGACAGGCAGGACTCCAGTGTTTGCAGGACTGGCCTAGGGACCACAGTGGAGAAGTTGGGGAAAGCAGGAACATGGAAGAGCACAGCTCTGGGAATTGCCAGGGTAGTCCAAGCACCGGTAACCAAGACAGGTGACTCAAATTGGCAAGATAAGCAATGGAGCCTCAGACAATCCTTCTTGTATAATTGGAATGCAAAGTCAAGACCAAACTTCTAGCATTAGGGAGGTGATGTTGAGACCTAGAGATTCTACCACAGCTAAGTGTGGAGGTGCAGTGGGGGTGAGGTGGCCAGGTAGGGAGGGGTCAGGTGCAGCAGCTGCTGAGGCTGAGGCTGGAGCCAGCAGGCCTGGCCATGACCTTGCTTTCAGACACTGACTCTGGGAGCACTTGCAGATGCTTGTTCAAGCCCCAGGTACTGCTGTCAGGGTACACTGTGGGGAACCCCCACCATGAGTGGCTGGGTGGGTGAACTGTCGGTGACTGCTTCCCTGGCTGCATTGAGTGGGAGCACAGCTTAGAAGGCAGGGAGGAGCCAGCATTGTGGCAGTAAGTGGAAGCTGCAGCCAGAGCTTCAGGCAGGGTTGGAGACAAAGTGTCTGCAGCCTGTGGGTCTGAATCTGAGTAGCCCTTGGCTTCAAGGCGTGCCTCTTGCCTTGGCTGTTCACAGGAAGGATCCATCTAGAGACATAAAATGAAACTTGGAGGCAACTCTGTTAGCTAGCATGGAGACAGAGGGACAATGAACATCACAGAAGGAGCCCTCAGCGGTTTAAAATGCACATTTATTCATTTTGGCTGGGCATTGGTTTTTCACAAGAGATTTCTGGAACATTCCAACTGCCCTCTTGAACTCAAAGCTCTTTTGTCTGTGTGGGGTGAGTCCCACTGACCTGTCACAGTGCCTCATCACAATCATTTAAGATGCGTAAAAAGCCACTGGAGGAGCTAGGTTTAAGAGCTCTTTGCTAGGTTTTCAATTTAACCCCAGCCCTGAAATGTTAGTCAACTACATGTGGAAAGCTTCAAAAAATTTTTTTGCAATTTGTGTTTGATCGACTCTGGGCTCACCTGCAGCATTCATAACTCAACAATTTGAATTCTGTAGAGGAATCCAAGGAAACAGCTGGAATTTTCCAGACTCATTTCTTGGGGGAGTTTGAACCAGTGTCCTCAGCGAGTATTGTTTAATATAGAAAGGCCTGTGCTAGAACACAGCTTATCAGTGCTTTTTAAGCTCTTTTACTTCCTGGTTCATCCTCTTCTAGATCCTTCTAAACAAGAACCAAAGAGCTTAAGCCTTGGCTGTGATCTTCAGATTTTTTTTTTTTTTAACCATGCTGGGGGAAGCACAGCATTGCTTATAAAAAGCTGGAGCCTAAGAAATGCCATGCCTTCCGTCTGGTCCCATTTGGAACGTGATGATTTGAGCATGCCACCCTGGCATGGAACAGCCGACTTCCCATTAAGAATCACTTTGCTAAGCATATTTCTCGAATTGGGAATGAAGCCATTTGGTTTCCTTGGGGGTGAAGGCTATTTTCAGTCTCTACTTACAGTGATGAGTTTTGCCTTGGGAAATAAGCCTGCTAAAAACCTGTGACAATTTTTTTTTAACCCATTTGGTTAAAATTTGTAATGGCATCTACTGGGTTCTCTTGTCAGTGACTAATGATGTTACTACCAGGGGGGAAAAATCTACCAGGCTTTCCAAATGCTGTCTAAGTGAGATGTTTCAACCGCCTCTGGGAAAATTAGTAAGATCTGATCAATGTCAATGTCAGGGCTTATAGTTAAAGAGCTCCAAAGGATTGCATTTTTTTTCCCCCTCCTTCAACTCTAAATTGTACTGAGTTCGTTTCCACTGTCTGCCCTTGATCCAAGGGGACAGGATTTTGTGCTGTAAGGTGTATATTTTCCTCTGTTATCTCTTTGATACTCATGAAAGATTAAAATAAAGCCACTGAAGGAAGCTCCTCAACAGAAAAATAAGAGGCAATTTCAGAAAGCGAATGGAAAAATGAAAAAGAGAGAAAGATGTTTATTTTGGTGCAAGAATTTTTAGAATCTGTGCGTATTTTTCCATGATACACATTTTCTGTGAACTTTTTGCATATGTTCCTTCATATTCTCTAGAGTCCAAGATGGAAAGAACCCCAGAAGTATGTTTAGTAGCCCCAAACTAAAGAAGGTATTCAGTTTGAAGCATAAGATATAAACGCTTTTCTATGCATCACCTAAGGGAGTGACAAATAACAGAATAATAAATGAGGTGAAAGCTCATTCTTTGTAAAAGAAAAAAAAATCGATCCACTGTCTCAAGTTCTTCACTAATTGGGTCCATCTCCACCAACTCCTAAGTCATTGCTTGGAGGGGAAGGGGCACTCACCACTTTTTCAAACTCCTGCAAGAGAATATGAACTATCTGCGGGATGGTTTACAAAGTCATCAGGAAAAGCTGTTTGAGAGCTGGTGGCCCACCGTGTGAGACCCTCACAGCTTCTCCTCTCCCCCAGGCATGACGGAGATGGTGCGGAAAGTCACCCTGAGCCGAGCAGTCAGGGTGATGCAGAACCTCTTTCCCGACGAGTACAACTTCTACCCGCGTTCCTGGATTCTGCCCGAGGAGTTCCAGCTCTTTCTTGCTCAGGTAAATGGCGCTCTGTCTGCCCACCATGGCGACCGGGGACTGGGGTCACCAGGAAGCTGACCCCAACTGAGGGTACACAGTGGGTTGTTGGCCCGCAGAACTCAACAGGTAGGTGGCAGGTGGGTAAAATGAAGCAATAGAGCTTGACCCCAGGCGACAGGGACTTAAGAACTGGATCATGGCTCAGAGCTCTGGAGAGCCAGGGCAGAGCGGGTGGCTGAGCCCACAGTGGAATACATCCTGGGATGGAAGGGGATCCAGAGGCGTGGGCTGTAAAGCGTGGGATGTCTGGTTCTCTTGAGATAACCTTGGAATGGGGTTGGAGGGAACCTTTCAAGTGTCTTGCTTTAAGCTTGTTACAGAATCAGTTCTCAGATGACCTCATCCCATCTTGAAGCAGTATGTTTGAGCATGAAATGGGTTGGCGTCTTTGCCACTAATTGTGAAACAGAACCACTAGGGAAGCAGAGTTCAGAATGATCATTTCGATTAGTCTCCCAATAGTTTAATTTAGACCATTTCAAAGCCTTTGATTAAATGTTCCGTAACCATGAGGCTGACAGTATAATAAACAGCTTTCTAGTACCACTAATACCATTAATTGGTCCCACTATGTTCCAGGTATTATTCTAGAAGATAAACATTTTTTTTCTTTAAAAAAATATTTATTTTCATCTATTTGAAAGAGAGGCAGAGAATGAGTTTTTTTTGGGGGGGTGGGGGAAAGTTACTCATCAAATGCCTGCAACAGCCGGTGCTGAAGCCAGAGACTCCATTCTCAACCAGGAGCCCAAGTGCTTCCGCCATCTGCTTCTTCCCAGTGCATCAGCAGGAGGCTGGATCAGAAGCGGAGTAGTTGGAACCTGAACCAAGAATCCCATTACAGAATGAAATGTGTTCCAAGTGGTGACTTACCCGCTCCACCAAATGCCCAATCTAAAAAATTACTTCTTTTTTCCCCCCCACAGCAATCTTACAAAGTTAATTTTACTACTAGCCCGTTTCATGGATATGGAGATTGAAGCTTTGAGAAACTGACTTGTTCGGTCAGTGTTGGATTGACACCCAAGAGGTGATTGTAGGGATCGTGCACATAGAGCTGTCATGACTACTCATTTCTAAGTTCCTTTGTAGATGTTTTCTTTCTCTTAAATAAAACCAAGGAATGGACTTTTTGGATTATATAATCTATGTTGTATACTTTACAAGAAATTTCCAACTCTTTTATAAGAACCTCTAAGGTGGTTGTAGCTTCACACCCCACGGACCGTGTCTGAGACTCCTCGTTGTTTCACATCATTGCCAAGCCTTGAGCGTCTGAGATGGGTAGGTGTGTCGTTGTATCGCTGTGATTTTAGCTTGCTCCTTCTAGATGACAGTGGGTTGACTCCTCTTTTTTGTGTGTGCTTTAACATTTGAATATCTTATTTTGTTAAGTGTGTACTCAAAAATTTTGTTCACTCTACTAAGTGATTTAAAGTCACATGTTCTTTACGTATTCTAGATGCCAGTCTTTTATTTCGTGATGTAATTTTGTGTTTTGTATTTTGCCCCATATGACTTTTCAACCTGTAACCCTGAATTTTCATGTTTTAATTCTGTACTTTTAAAGAATAAAGCACTTTAATTTTGATGTTATTGATGCTTTTTGTCAGTATTGATGCTATTGTCAGATTTTCTTTTATTGCTGGTGCTTTTTGTGTGGTGTCTTAGACTTCATTGCCTTCATTGTTGAATATCAGTTGACTGTATATGTTTTGTTCTGTTTCTAGGTTCTGTGATTTGGTCCATCCATCCTTAAGATTACTCTTCTGTGAATGCCCCCGTAGCGTCTTGATGAATGTGGCTTTATAGTGACTCCTGAAGTCCAGTGGTGTTAAATTAAATCCTCCTGCTTTATCTTTAGCATTGTTTTGGCTTTTGCAGGACCTTTGCATTTCATGTACATTTTGAAGACAGTTGGCCAGTGTTCACAAGAACCCTTCTAGGAATCTGACTGATTCTATTTTCATCCTATGGCTCTGACTGGAGACAGTGAACATTTTAACAATGATGAGTCATGTAGCTCATTGCCCTTAGTTAGGTCTCCCTCAGTTTATCTCAGAGATGTCCTATACTTCTCACAGTACATATTTTATTCACCTTTTCTCCTGGTATTTTAACTTTAATGCTATTTTAAATGATATACTTTGAATTTTATTTTATAATTTGTTGGTTGGTTGGCTGATATTCAATTACCTTTTATTTTCTACTAGTATGATACTCAAGTCCCTGATTTTTCCCAGGAGTTCTTTTTCTGTTGATTTGTTAGGAGTTTCTGTGAATACAGTTAATTCATGTGTGAATAAATATATTTTATTTCTTTTAAAAAATGGGTATTTATTTGAAAGGCATAGCAATAGAGAAAGAAGACACAGAGAGAGAGAGAGAGATCTTCCTTCTGCTGGTTCATTCCTCAAAATGACCACAGCAGCCAGATCTTGGCCAGGCAGAAGCCAGGAGCCAGGAACTCTTTCTTGGTCTCCTGCTTGGATACTTACTTGGATCCAGGGGCCCCAGCACTTGGACCATCTTCTGCTACCTTTCCAGGCACATTAGCAGGAAGCTGGATTGGAAGTGGAGAAGCCAGACACCAAGTTAAGCTCCCAAATGGTGTGGTGGTGTTTCAAACCTGCAGCTTAGGGCCTGGCGCAGTGGCGCAGTGGTTAAGGTCCTTGCCTTGCATGCCCGGGATTCCATATGGGCGCCGGTTCTATCCCGGCGGCCCCACTTCCCTTCCAGCTCCCTGCCTGTGGCCCAGGAAAGCAGTCGAGGACGGCCCAAAGCTTTGGGACCCTGCACCCGCGTGGGAGACCCGGAAGAGGCTCCTGGCTTTGGATCGGTATAGTATCGACCCGACCCGTTGCGCTCACTTGGGGAGTGAATCATCGGACGGAAGATCTTCCTCTCTGTCTCTCCTCTCTGTATATCCGCCTTTCCAATAAAAAAATAATGAAAATAAATCTTTAAAAAAAAAAAAAGCTGCAGCTTAACTCACTGCCCTACCACACCTCTCCCCTGTTCCTACCATTCCTTTCTTTCTAATCTAAATGTGTTGTATTTCTTCTCTCTCGTTAAATTGCACTGAGCTGGGACTTCCAGTGTTCCATAATAGTGATTGGAGTGGATATGCTTGCCTTGTTTTCAGTCTTGTGGGAAAGGACGCAGGTGTTCATCATGTCAGCTGTGGGCAGTTCCCAGAGGCCTTTCCTGGGGTTGTGGAAGCTTCCTCCTGGAGTCTGCAGAAAGTGTTGTCATAAGTGGGGACATAACCCGGCCAAATGTCCTTTCTACATTTGTTAACATAATGAGATTATTTTTCTCTTTTCTTTTGGCAATAAGATGACTCATTGTTTGATGCTTTAAAAATTAAACCTACCTTGCATTCCTGATGTAACTCCGCCTGGTTGTGATGCATTGTAATTTTTATGTACTGCTGAACTGATATTTGCTGATATTTTAAGAAACTTTGCATCTTTATTCATGAGAGATACTGGTATGTGACATCTTTGGTTTTGGTGTCAGAATAGCACAAAGCTTATTAAATGAGTTAGCAAATGATACTATCTCTGCTCTTAGTATGTTATGTAAGTTTGGTTTTGGTTTTGTTTCTTAAATGTTTGACAGAATTCGTTATTGAAGGTACTTGGATATGAAGTTCTTTTTTTTTTTTTAATTCTTTATTTTTCATGATACAGTTTCTTAGGCTCAAGGATTTCCCCTTCCACCTTCTGGGGCTTTCTTTTTGGCAACTTTTTAGGTTCTTAAAATTGTTGACTACAATTTCCTGAATTTGTGTCATTCAAGGAATTAGTCCATTTCATTTAAGTTGTCAGATATACTGGCATGAGCTTTTTAAAAATAATATCTTTTTATTATGTTTTTTGTGTCTGGGATATATAGTAATGTAACCCATTTTCTTGCTAATATTGATTTTTTTTTGTTTTTGATCAATCTGGTGAAAGGCTTATCAATTTTATTCATCGTTTCACAGAACCCACTTAGCATCTTAGTGTTTATCCATTTTGCAAACCACTGATTTCTAAGTTTTATTAGAATTTTATGCCTTCTACCTCTTTTTGACTTAATTTGCTTACTCCCCTCATTTAAAAAAATATGTATTTTTATTGGAAAGGTAGATTTACAGAGAGAAGAGACACAGAACCATCTGCTGGTTCACCCCACATTAGCTGAGCTAATCAGAAGCCAGGAGTCAGGAACCTCTTCTGGGTCTCCCACGCGGGTGCAGGGTCCCAAGGCTTTAGGCCGTCCTAGACTGCTTTCCCAAGCCACAAGCAGGGAGCTGGATGGGAAGTGGGGCTGCCGGGATTAGAACCGGCACCCATATGGGATCCCGGGCGCATTCAAGGCAAAAACTTTAGCTGTTAGGCTACCACACCAGGCCCTAGTTCCACTCATATTTTAACTCTAGGTACACTGTTAGTACTTTTGCTTTGAAAAGTCAGTTATCTTACAAAGAAACTAAAGAAATAAATGTTTGTCTTTTTCATGCATTCATGTATTTACTATTTCTAGAACTCTTCGTTCCTATAGATAGCCCTGGGATCCCATATGGCATTATTTTTATTTGGCCTGAAGAATTTCCTGTATCACATTTCTCATATTTTATGTCTGTTTATTATAAAATTCCCTTGACTTTTGTTTGTCTGAATTTTTTTGCCTTTAGTTTAAGAATAGTTTTGAAATCATTTTAGGCTTACAAAATGTTGGAAAAATTACATAGCATATAAATTGTTGATCCCATTAGGTTTCCTTTTCAACTCATTGTAGCTTTTATTTCTGAAAATTAGACTTAAAAATCATTTAAAATATCTTCTGAATTCCTAACTAGCTTTTTGAACACATGGAATGCCTGACAATCACTTTCTCAGTGCCATTTCTGCTACTTTCAGCCCCAGACACATTCTAAGTTATTTTGAGTTTTGTCTCCATCATGACGT